CAACATGTAATTCTCGGACAAAGGCCTTTCTAACGATATGAAATCTTTAGCGTTTGATAAAGAAAAGTTCCGGATAGAACGCAAGCGTATTTATTATTTATATAGATAGCAACATTAGATAAATATGGTGTTGAAAATATGGTAAGATAAACCTAATATGTTAGAAACTAGAGCAAGTTTATGTGTTCTGTCTACAAAATCTTGTAAATGACAAACAAATTCTGCTCCCCAAGTGGCACAACAGCATCTTTACGGACTTAAAAACAAGAAATCGGGTTTCGATACTCGTGGTGGGCAGAGCACAGATAGCCTATTATGTAGCTTTGTGCATAACTACAAACAACAATCTATTGAAATGTTGAATTTGAGCATTTGATTATTGATACTTCTGCCTAAAACCGGTTAATAAGGGTTGTTTGTAGTAAAACAGCCTTTTCTTTTCCGCCCCGGAAGTGAGCTCTGGTAGATATGTTTGGCAGTATTAAGGAAACTTTCGTAATTCGGCACAAGAATGTCGTTAACATATGTACAAGCATGACTAATGTGCAAAGCACTGTCAATGTTTTTTTTTTTAATAAGAAAGAAAATTCAAGATCGAGTAAATAAAAATCTGCAATCGATTGTTGTAGTTACAACCCATACGAATGGTTGTAGTTACAGCCCATATGAATGGTTGTAGTTACAACCCATATGCATTCCCTTTATTTGTTGAAAGATATTTTTGGCAGAATTGTACAAATAAGTAAAAAATGTACAGCTTGTAAGTATTCATTTATTGAGAAATAATAGTATTTTTTATGAGTAATATTATCACAGAGACATCTTTGTTTATAAACACAAACCACTGATTTGTCAGAATTCTTAAAATATTTCAAATTTACATTCAAGCATAAATTAACGTTTTCTGTTTCAACCTTCGAGAAATACGTTTCATGTCTAGTGCTGAAATAACCTTATTTTAACACGCCCGAGCACTTCTTTACTAAATAAACAAAAAGCAACTACACATTTTAATGTACTGTTCTAAAAAACATATAAAACAACAAAAATAGTTGACCAAGGGCTTTATAAAATTGAGTACTGATGTTGTTGCGTGTATATGGAAATAAAACACAAGTGGAAAGATGAGTTAACAAAAATAATCGTAAAGATAGTAAAAATTAAAATACTTATATTTCCATAAAGTCGATGCATAATCTTTTGAGCTGGTGACCTTCTTCACATTTAGCATAAGAAATAATTTCGAAAAGTGGACAAACAAATAAATTCCCACCTTAAAAAACAAGATCGAATCCTGGCCTTTGACACCACCAACAGTAGTAAATCGGATGGTTTCGATAATTGTTGTCGGTAGAGCACAAATAGCTTATTGTGTAGCTTTGCGCTTAACAACAAACAGGACTCCCCTATAGATGGCAGATGAAAATATAAATTAATTGGTAATTAGTATTTAACAGTAATTACTCTACTGTCTTTAAAGAGATGTGATATCAATTTTGACACTATACTTATGGCTTAAAATACCTCAATGTTTTGGTGGACAAGCTTGTCTTTATTCAAGATTCCATATAACTGCTTCGAAGACATGGTGAATACATTGTTCACAAAACGATTGTTGACTTTTCTGGGCAAAACAACCTTCTGTCATGTCTTAATTCACTAAATTAAGCTTAATATCAAATCATTCTCAAGCTCATCGAAAAGAACTAGAGCATCATATTGACAAAAAACGTACAGCAGATTTGAATCAGTAATTTCGAATTCATTACATATTTCTTAAATAAAAGTTTTTCGTTTTATATATTATTGGAACACATTAAAACAAATGTTTTAACTGACGTCTCTAATTAAAGAACCAGAAAAGTTAACACTATATGAAACTTTTCTTCGTGTATTCTTTATAATAAAATTAATCAATCCTTCAAAGCAGATCACATTAAGAGGTAATTTATTTCGAATGTTTATACAACATGGTGCTAAAACAGCACAATACTGAAACAGAATATTTAATGCCAGTAAATTTACAATATTAATCTTTTAAAAGCGAAATATGAAATCCATAATGACCTTGAACTTCTCAATGAAGACTGTAAGTCCAAGAATAGACCTGGGCGATTAGTGATATTTGCTCATCGATTAACCGACGGCCCATTAATTCATTATGCTTAATACAGTGATCTAACCATTGAAATAAAAAGTTGGCGGTGAGTGCTGCTAATCAATTGCTTTCCCTCTAGTCAGCAGTTCAAGAAAAAATAGACAAGAAGTTGCCTTCGCTCAAGACAAGTTCCGAAACATAAAACTAGTAACAGGTGATGCCAACCAGTCGCCTTCCCTCTCACAATCAGTTTAAGATAAACAAAAGCTAGCGCCCCCAGTGGCACGCCTGCGGACTTACAACGCTAGAAACCGGGTTTCGATACCCGTGGTGGGCAGAGCACAGATAGCCCTTGTAAAGCTTTGTGCATAATTAAAAACAAACAAAAGTTAGGGGCGGGTAAAAATAAAAACGAAAACTAAATTGCCTTCCCTCAAGTCAAAAGTTCACAAAAAATAAAGTTGGTGGTGTGTGCTGCCAACCAGTTGTCATTCCTCTAGTCAGAATTTCAAAATCAGCAACAGTAGTAGATAACCTTAGTAACTATGCCATAACAAAGATAGGGCGAATAAATTTGGTGGCAATGGGAATCGAACTTGAAACTTTCAAATCACGAATCACTTCAGCTGAACAAACTTGAAGTAAAAAACAAGAACTTACAAAGTTGTAATTCTGTAGAACACAGATATCCTATATTAACAAATATGTAATCCTAATTTTGATTAATTAATTTTCTTGACAATTAACTTAATCACAATTTCAATTAATCAATTGTTGGAATAATCGAAAACGGTAATAAAAGGAAACACAAATTTCGATTAATCAATTTAATTGTGTATTCAATTAATCTACAAGTCTACATTACACTAATTGACATAATCGCTACTCAAAAGTAATCTACTATATCGAATAAATTGGCCAGATCTATCCAAGAGGAAAATAATACCCACACACACAGTCTGAATAAGGCCCGGACAACTTTCGAAACGTCACCTTCCAGTGAGAATACATTAAGTTAAAATGTTTAAATATACTTTCGTAGTTCAAGTTAGTAAAATCAAAATTAATTCTGAACTCATTATCCCCCCATTTATTTAGTGACATCAATATCCATTGCACACTTAAAAAAA